TGAAACACGGTGGTAGTGGAATTGGTTGTAATAAGATCGGTTGTAGAAACATTAATTGTGACGCTACCAAATATCATTCTGACGATGATGATAGCGTTATTTGTCCAAATTCTTTAATGTATTTTGATAGTGATGTTTCTTGTTATCCTGAATTGAATTTTTCAGAGTCTTCAACTCCTTATTTAAGCCGAGGAATTTCTATGAGTCGTACCTCATCAGCTTTATCAATGATATTTCCTCATTTCATTCCTTTTAAAACTGAGGATTCTACAAGTACTATTTTGGGAGACTATGTTAACGTATCTTTTAAAACCGATGATACTTCAATTACCGATAATATTGTTAATGAAGTTCAATCTACTGAGATTCATATCAATCCACACCTTCATCATTCAGATAGAGATTTTCATTGGTTTATTTCACATGGAAAAAAACTTTCATATATTTTTGGAGAAAAACTTTATTATATTTTCGTTGGGTTATTAATTTTATTTATTTTAGGATACATTTTTGGTGGATTTAATTATCATATCGAAGAAAATTTTGGTACTGGTGTTACTAAAAAAATAGATGGTGCTGTGAGAGCTCAAGTTCAAGAATTTGTTGAAAAAGAAATGTTTAAGATTTCAGATACCAAAGAAAAAAATGACGATGATGATTCTGATGGTTTGGTTGGTTTGGTTAGGAAACAATTGAATGAGGTAATTATATGCGTATATTTAATATTTATATATTTATATGCATATATTTAATATTTATATGCGTATATTTAATATTTATATGCATATATAATTATATGGTAATTATATGCGTGTTTATCTAATATTTATTCATATTTATTAATTTTTTCTTTTAAGGTTATTCACGAGCAACTCGAAAAAATGATGGACGGTACAAGCGCTGACTATGCACTTTACACAGGTGGTGCGCGCGTAATTCCTCACTTAACAACACGTGACTACGAAGCGTGGCCTACTAAATCTTATCAAATATTGTGGGGAATTCTCACTCGCAAAAACGTTATAAAAAGTAACAAGGCTTCAATTGTAATAACACCAAGTGTTAACGTTGGTGAATGTTGGTGTTTTAATGGAACTAAAGGTCAAATAGCTATTCGCCTTTCTCGGAGTATTGTAGTAACGCATATAACCTATCACCATATTGGCCGACAAGTTTCTATTGATCCAATCTCTTCTGCTCCAAAAGACTTTGAATTATGGGGTGTTATTGATGATTACGAGGATGTTGTTTATTATGAGAATGACACAGAAGTCGTTGAAAATGTGGAAAAAAAGGAAAGAAAAAATGATGTTGAATATTCTGAAGATTTTGTTCACTTTTTAGGCGAATATCAATATGATATTTCTGGAAGATCGGCTCAAACTTTTAACGTACCTAAATCGATTGCCAGTAATAATAAGAGGGTCAGATCAATTATGATGAAGGTGAAAAGCAATCATGAAAATCCTAAATTTACTTGTCTTTATAGACTTCAAGTTCATGGTATTAAACCTCTGTAACCCGTGATTTATTAATGATTTGATATGCAAGTTGCGTTTTATCAATGAATAGATAATATAATTTTGTACATATCTTTTTCCTTTTTTTTTACACTTCTTTTTTTTATTTAACATTAAACTAAGTTAAGTGTAATCGTTGCAATCGGATGATCACAAAAAGCAAATACGTACGTACGTACGTACGTACGTATGCACATTTAAATAACGATAACAATGGTTGTCATATATATGCAGGGATATGTTCATTGATCTTGATACGATCACTTGAGCTAAACATATGTTCGAAAGTTGTGTGATCACATAAATATGAACCATATATTCGAACCATATGTTCGAAAGTTGTGACCACATAAATATGAACCATATGTTCGAACTATATGTTCGAAAGTTGTGACCACATAAATATGAACCATATGTTCGAAACCATCACTTTCATTTTAAATTCATCTTAACAGTTAACATTAGTTTAGACAACAACATGACAGATAAGCCTGATTTTATTTTTATTTACAAAAAGTACATTAAAATGAAAAACAAAACTCGGGTATAAACTCGAATATAAACTCGTATATAAACTCGAATATAAACTCGGATAAATAAACCAATCTAAAAAAAGAAACGAAGAACAAGAAAAAAAAAAAAAAAGAGAAAAAAAAAGGAAA